AAATCACATTATCTGGTTTTGTTATGTTAATTCTATCTTTCATTATGTTATTTCTAGTTAAAAATTCCCTTTTTGTCCCCGTGCTATACCAAATATTATATTTAAATTTTCTCAAAATTCTAGATATTTCGTTGTCGACATCTCTGATATATGGAATTATTATATTATTGTAATCGTCTTTATTCCTATTTAAATTTGGCCTATCTATTTCATATCTTCTTATCCATTTGTTTGTAAAACCAATTGGATAATCAGATTGTTCTAGTTCTGCTCTAATTTTCATTATCTCTTTTTTATAAATATCTCGGTCTGTGCATACCTGTTTGGCTCTTTGTACAAGAGATTTTATCACCTGCCTTTTATGTATTATAGGATTATTGGAATTGAAATTTAGATGTATCCCACAGTCTGTTGGCTTTCTGAAAACGCTGGTTATAATAGAACCATCTACTTTGCGAGTTAGTCCTACATCTAAGAATGATAAAAATCCTTCTCGTTCTATCTCGACCGTGAATTCTATTCCTCTTTCTAAATTATTCAACATGACCATGATTTCATTAAGATTTTCTTTGCGGATCACTGCGAAAATATCATCTATATAGCGTCCCCAGACTTTTATTCCCTCGATTAACTCTAGCTCTAAAAGAGCTAAAAGAATATTTCGAGGTGAAAAGGCAAGATTGTGTAAACAAGGGATTAGAAATCAAGGAAATGATAGAAGGTTTCAGGTTATGTTTAGATAATATTTACTTTAGATATAGGGATAAATTTTACAAGCAAAAAGACGGCACTGCTATGGGTTGCCCTACTAGCATGATCATTGCTGACATCGTAATGGCATCGGTAGATAAAAAGGCAATCTTAATCGAGGGAATAAAAGTCTGGGGACGCTATATAGATGATATTTTCGCAGTAATCCGCAAAGAAAATCTTAATGAAATCATGGTCATGTTGAATAATTTAGAAAGAGGAATAGAATTCACGGTCGAGATAGAACGAGAAGGATTTTTATCATTCTTAGATGTAGGACTAACTCGCAAAGTAGATGGTTCTATTATAACCAGCGTTTTCAGAAAGCCAACAGACTGTGGGATACATCTAAATTTCAATTCCAATAATCCTATAATACATAAAAGGCAGGTGATAAAATCTCTTGTACAAAGAGCCAAACAGGTATGCACAGACCGAGATATTTATAAAAAAGAGATAATGAAAATTAGAGCAGAACTAGAACAATCTGATTATCCAATTGGTTTTACAAACAAATGGATAAGAAGATATGAAATAGATAGGCCAAATTTAAATAGGAATAAAGACGATTACAATAATATAATAATTCCATATATCAGAGATGTCGACAACGAAATATCTAGAATTTTGAGAAAATTTAAATATAATATTTGGTATAGCACGGGGACAAAAAGGGAATTTTTAACTAGAAATAACATAATGAAAGATAGAATTAACATAACAAAACCAGATAATGTGATTTATGGGATTAAATGCACAGAATGTGACAAAATTTATGTAGGAGAAACCGGCCGTAATTTAGAGATCAGGATTAAAGAACACCAACAGGGTTTAATGGGGAGAAGGGCGTTAAGCAAAATTGGGGAACATGCATTATATTCAGGACATAGGCCAGATTGGAATGATATTGAGATATTTCATAGGAATATAAAATTTAAAAAAGAAAGATTATTTTTAGAGGGATGGGTATCACGGGAAATGGGGAAAAGATCTATAAATATATTTGAAGATATTCCGCAACAGTACAATTCGTTTTTAAATTTAAAGATTAGTTAAAATGGTAGGTATAAATTGTACATAATAGAAATAGATTTATTTATACTATTGTAAAATCTTTGTAAATATTATTTGATTTTTTTATATATATATATATATATATTTTTTTTTTTGTTTTATAATTTCTCATTATAAATATTTAAATACTTTATTTAAAAGATCATAGTCTTTTGTGAGTTAAATATTTGTTTTTGACTCGTGCTTTAGATGTTGTACAAAATTTCGAATATCGCGTGAGAACGCCCTTGCAGCCTTAGAATAATTTCTAACGCTTTGCCTAATGTTTTAATTTTTGTTCGCTCCTGACGAGGACAAAAGATTTTTGTCGAAACGTCGAGACAATAAAAAGATTCACTGGCCGAAGTGTCTTTTATTACAAGAAACAAATTTTATAAGAATTAAAAAATAACTTACAATATATTTTATTTACTTTTGTCATATTTCTAACATTTATTACTGGAAAGTTGACCGTTAAACATGAAGTGCTTTTATGATTTGCTAAAGTGTGCCAAGAGCCAATACATTTCCCTTCTGAATTATAGAAATTCACATGGTTTGGAGAGGTTCTTTATTTGAATGATTTCAATTCTTGAACCTGCCCAAAACCCTATCAGCAATCTCTCTATCCCAATTATATCCCTTTTTATTTCATGACAATAATATTGAATAGAAGTAAGATACTTTGCACTTTCGTCCGCATAAAATATCAAGTGTATTTTCCTATCTCTAAAACTTATAGAATAAAATATATAATATATATATTTCAATCAGATGAATTAACCTACTTATATATTTGTATAAAAGGATCGCCTATAGTAAAAACCGTTTCAACAGACAAATCCTGTCTGTTTCAATGTATAAAACATAAGAAAACGTCTTAGCAAGAATGATTTGTAGCTAAATGAAAAGACATAAAAATACTTTACAGCTATGCACCCAAACTTAACAAATACTTCAAATACTAAGAATAATAATTTTTAAGAGATGTGTTAAAATACCTTAGGGCTATTTGCTCTCCAAGATACAGTTCCATCTCTGGCAAACTTCTAAAAAGAGAACAACTATCTGCAATTATTTTTCACACAATTTCAAGAACAATAAACTTAATTAGCGTCCCATTTATGTACATATTTGTGCGCATTCAATATGTTAATCGTGAATTGTTATAGAATTAGGATATCAAAATTTTAATCTCTAGATCATATCAACATAGATTGGGATTAACGATATTGATCTCTTTAAATAAAATATATTTAGATGTAATTATATTTGTAGCTACAGTAAGGCAGTCATAAATGGATCCTTTGTTAAGCACAAACTTTGCAATTCTGCCATTTTGCTTCTATCCCCTGATAGTTGGTTTCTATAGTTGGTTGATTAAATTGGCGAAGCCGCTGGAGGAAGGTTCACCACTGATGATTCAGGTCCTCTTAATATACAAGGTATGTCCCATAAGTTCCCGGACTAGGTCCATAGAAAAAAAGGTAAGATATTTTTTTAAATATTTATTAACACTTTTCAAAGTAATCCCCCCTTGCATCAACGCACCAGCGCCATCGTTTCTCCCAATTGTCGAAACAGTTTTTATAGGCCTCTTTTGGAATTATCTTCAATGCCAACAGCGATTTTTCTATTATATCATCCCTGGTGTCAAATGTCTTCCTTTTAGAATTGCTTTAGGTTTGGGAAACAGGAAAAAGTCATTTGGTGCGATGTCTGGGGAATAGGGTGGTTGAGGTAGGATTTGTGTCCCGTTTTTCGCCAAAAAACTCGTCACCAAGTGCGCTGTGTGAAGGCGGGCATTGTCATGGTGTAGGATCCAGTCATTAGTCCCATTAGTCCATTTTTCTGGCCTTTTTTTTTCGAATCGCTTCCCTTTGACGGCGAAGAATGCCCAAATACTTTTCCTTAATAACTGTTTGGCCTGTAGGAAGATACTCGTGATGAACAATGCCCTTGTTATCAAAAAAAAAAAAAAAAGCGACCAGCAACACCTTGTTTCTAGATTTCAATATCCTGGATTTTTTGGGTCTAGGCTCACCCTGACCTCTCCACTCGGCAGTTGACGCTTGGTTTCAGGGTCATAGCCATAGACCCATGTCTCGAAGCCTGTGATTATCTTGTCTTTCCATTCCGGATCCGTTCTTGTCATTTCCAACATGTCCTCACAGGAATCTTGGGATGAATTTTGCAGGAGTCTTTTTGAGCTTCAAATCTTCTGTTACGATCCTTCCAATCTTTGTTTTAGAGATGCCTTTGTCTTGCTCTAGCTCCAGCAAAGTGGTTCGAGGATTTTCTTTTATCAAAAGGGTGATTTTTACACATTTTCATCAGTCCTTTTAAATTTTGGGCGTCCTTGACGAGGATCATCTTCAATGGAAATTGATTGAGAATGCCATTCAAAAACAGTTGTTCTCTTTGGGGCGTCATTGAGGAATGCTTTATTAAGCATTTCAAAAGTTTCGGTTGCTGATATTTGATGTTTCACACAAAATTCTATGCAAATCCTCTGCTTCAATTTTTGTTCCATCGTAAAAACGCCGCAGCTCTAGTAGTAAACTTTAAATAAATTAGAATGACCTTGTCGCGCGCGCACGTACCGCCTCGATATTGGTACCACCATTTTGCCAGATATGTTTTGTATAATAAACAGTCAAATTTATTTAGATATTTCATTTATTTATTTTTTTTTATGGACCCAGTCCGGGAACTTATGGGACATACCTTGTATTTTCGATCAAACACAGTAAGGGCAGTAGAAAGTTGTTTTATTTATAAAAAGTAAACTTGGAGCTGAATAATTTCATTTTTCTTAATCACGAACATGTTCAATGGAAAAAATAAAAGGATAATATCATATTGAATCTTTTTTTTTGTTTATCCCTAGTACACGTGGTACAGGCCATGATAATCATGGTGGGTAGAAGTAGGCGGCTGCTTTTACTGTAAGTGCATCACATGTCTACACATGTGAAAAGCAGTTCGACTTTACACTTACAAATGTGCCAGAGCTCCGTTTGGTTACTTGCACTCGCTTGTGGAGTTGAACTTTTGCAAGAATCGGGGGCCATTGGAGCATTTTTTTTTTATCATAAAAAAAGTGCTAAATGCGGGAATCGAATCCGGATCGTAGCGGTCGAGAAACAACGGTTTGGACCATCCTTCCATCGACCCCCCTGAAAAGAAAAAAAAAACGCAGCCGGCAGGATTCGAACCTGCGCGGGGAAACCCCATTGGATTTCAAGTCCAACGCCTTAACCACTCGGCCACGACTGCCTTTTTTTATTAATGAATATAGATGAAATAAATAATCAAAAAGAAAAACGATTATTTTTTCTAATGCAAATTATCGCCTAATTTAAAATATTTAGAGTTAATTATAAGTGTCCTGATATACATTTTAGACATAAAATGATATTTAAAATGTAAATTTATCAATATTTTGATTCTCATATCGCTATTATTCTCCAAGTTGTGTGTTGAGAATTGAAAAGTGTTTGTTTGAAGCCAATAGGAAGTTGCACTAAACACCACAACAGAATTATTACACTGTCTCGATACACAGAACAGTGAATTTTGTCTTAAACGATCATCAGGGAACTGAAGAAAATAGCTGAATGGTGAAGGTTTGTGCTTAAAAAATATCCATTTATGACTGGCTTACTGTAGCTACAAATATTCATTTCAATACTAGCCAAACTAAATATGTTATATGATTTTATTAATAGAGTTCAATATTGTTAATGTCTATTTATGTTAATATGATTATATTAAACTTATGATATACTATTTCTATAATTTTAAAATGGTTCTTATTAAAATATACAAGTATCAGAGTCATCAATCAATTCTTAATTCTGTCACCGTTTTTTTTTGTGTGCTTTTGTGAATGGAATAAATACCCAAATATGGCCATTTTTTTATAACCATGGGTGGTTCAGTGGTAGAATGCTCGCGGGCGGCCCGGGTTCGATTCCCGGCCGATGCATTTTTTTTTTCCAATTTTTTAAACTCATTTATATTATTATCCCTATATATATATAAAAGTCAGCGTATGTATGTATGTTTGTCAACTATACACGTCCACAATACGTAACTAATCTGACTGAAATTTTAACAGTATATAAAGTAGAATCTGGAAAAACTCTTAGTGAAAATGTCAGGTCTCTATCCCGAATATCCGTCGTGTTATTTGCAAATTTGCTCTTTCGCCCGCGCCTCTAGCGGTGAAAATGGGGGGTAATACCAGCTGACCTAATGTACATGTAAAGTTTGGAGCGGGACGTTTCACAAGAATGACATCCACGGCTCCAATTTATAATTGTAACGAATAGTATTTGAATAAAAAAAATTAATCGGGTAAAATCCGGGCGTTGCCCGGGTCATTCGGCTAGTAATGTATAAAATCAATATAAATTTTTGAATTAATGATTCGAATTGAGTTGCTACATATCGAATTTGATATTTTCCAAACTATCAGTGAGATATTATAATGAGGAAACCTAGCCCACGCGGTTACAGAGGCATACAGTAGGTTCCGACGCAAAACACGGCCCGCTTAAGACATGTTGTATTGGTACAGTTCAATGTAATTTAAATAGAAATACAGAAGAGATATACACCCAGTTTGTATGTGCCTCAAATTATTTTATTGTTGCAAACACGAAAATAATGGAATTTATATTGAGCTGTAGTAGATTGAATTGTGTCCTCGTAGTAGATTTCTCATCAGGAGCCCGGCTTGCAGCTCCTGACGCGGCGGTAGCATTGCTGGAGATATCGGTTTTACACTTCATTGGAAAATGGGTGCTGTTGCCATGTTATTTACCTTGGAAATTGACCAGCATTTAGTCGAATATTCTGATTTTATAAAGGAATGACAATACAATCAGATGTCACAAGAACCTACAGGACATGCAACAATTATCTTGGTGTGGAAATAACACCTACCCACATATTCCAATGTTCAGAAATGGCCAAAGACTTGAAAAAAAAAAGAAATTGACCCATAACAGCAGCTTTAAACGCCCAAGATAGAGGACATTGCGACTGCTGAGATAGAGATGCATGGAGACATCTGAGTTCTTCATTGTACACGACGACAACAACGAAAATAAGTTGTCGGATAATTTCCTTGACCTACATCTATTATGGAAGATGATTGAATTCAGTTTCTAGCCACATTCGGTAAAGATGAAGACCCAGACCTTCCTTAAACTCTCTGGAATTGTTGCAACACGTATACATAAAATATTTCACTTTATTTTCAAACTCTTACATACCTTTTGAATGCCTATTTTCACTATTTTTATTCGAATTCTATTTTATTCTTAGTTTCTTTATAAAGTATGTGAGAACTAACATTTTTGTGTGAAATTATATTATTGCGACCACATAAATCAACTGAATTTGATTTTAAAAGTAGGAATTAGCTTTAAGTATCTTTAAGAGGGCGCTAAACATTGTACGCTCAACATTTCCCAAAATAATTTAAGTTTTTACGGAACATTCCGAAAGGTTAAGAAAACTGGATCTCCCTAAACATGTCTCGAAATTTAAGAGACAACCACGACACACACACACACACCTAAATTCTAGAAGTTTTAAAATAGTTTTAATATTTGAAATAGTTAATATAGAAATATATTTTATCAGAAAAGCCCTTTACCTTATAATTGATAAAAATTAAATATATTATGAAAAATTTACATGATGACATACACTAGCCAAAATTGCATCAACTAGAAATATTCACGTAAATTATCTGAAAATTGTGAGCTATTGAATGGCAACGTGGAAAACAATTTATTTTAAAATTTTAAAAGGTGATGTAAAATGTATTAAGATACACAGCTTTTATCAATATTTGGTGGGTCCTCCTTTGGCAGGTATATAAATAGCTACACAGTGAGGTATACTGTCTTAGTTTTTTTATGGCTTCTTTTTTGGCTGTAGAGATTGCCAAATTTTCCTTCCCATTATGTCCCATACATGCTCAATTGGGGAAACATCTGGGGAACATAGGGCCCGGGAATGATGTCAGCATTTATAAGGAAGGCTCACGATATGTTGGCTGTATGTGGTCGGGCATTATCTTGTTGTAAAATGGCATTATTGGTCTACTCAAGAAATGGTAATACAACAGGTTACAACACATCTGAAATGTATATCTGAGCAGACATTTCGCCTTGAATAAAGACTAAAGGGGTTTTAATTTCATAGCTGATGTCACTCCACACCATGAAACCAGAGGTTCTTGCTCTATGTCTTTCCAAAATATAATCCTGATGGGGTCTTTCTAGGGTCCTACCTCCAACATGTATCCTACCGACATGAGCCCCCAAACCGAAATTAGATTCATCAGAAAAAAGGACATAATGCCATTTTTAAGCTCAAAGACGTCTCTCTGTACCAGCTGATTCTGTCGCTTCTGTCTGGCAGAGAGTGGAATTCTTAATAAAGGCCGGCGACTATGGAGTTCTGCTTCGATACGACGGTTCATTCTGCACGAATAGAGCTGATTTTATCATTGCTACAGTTGCTGTCCTGTCTGCTACAACCATCCTTCGAATCCTCTTATCGTATTTCTCTCTGTGGTTACTCTAGGAAGATCTGAGCCAGGGTTTTTAAAACTTTATCTTCCTCTTTCCAAGGAGACCAAATCCTTAAAAGAGTACTTTGAGCTTTGCAGCCTACTTCCTTTGCAATTTATCTAATCGAAATTCCAACCTCCCTTAGGCCTGTGATTCTGCCTCTTGTGAATTCAGAAATTTGCTTGTATGAGGCGCTTTTTTTTTGTCTGCCTTGTCATTGTACAGATTAAATATGATATTGAGAATTTAAAAAAACAAGATAACTATAATTAATAATATACTAGGAGATTATTTAAATACTCTTTTATGGATAAACAATGATAATTTTAGGCAAAAAAAAAGGAGGGCAACACCTTATCGTGTAACTGAAAGTTGCTGATGGCTTGCGCCATCTATCGGAATAAATATCAACTATTCTTTGATTTTTAATTATTCCCGAATTGGCCAAATATTCAATCTTGACTAATCAAGAAAGGTTAACCACGTACGCCTTCCGGGCTGTTGGCCTTCGTCAGTTTGGTGCAAACTGTACCCCAACGACCAAAAAACTGGTCATTCAGGCATCCTGAAAAATCACAAAACTGGTAGTTAAGGCCAGAATTGCGTGAAAACGCGTAACAATGTCGAAAATTTAATACAGCAATCTTTATTGAAGACACACGAGATACCAAAGTGTGAACAAAATTTTGTCACTGTCTCCTTGGAAAAAAAAAACAGATGACAAGCGATATCAAACACTTCCAACTTCCTAAAGTTTTGTCTATGAGTGTAAATGAAAGTTTAAGATATTCATTTCTTAAAAAAATTCATATAATAATTTTCTTGAAGTACTTTTTCAAGGGATAGTTTGGCTGAAATATATACTTCAAAAATATAATGCATTGCAATGCAACCAATATCAGCAGTGTAGTGCAATCTGAACCAACCACAGACTAGCTGATATAGATACATATGAAAAAACAATAGAAAAAAATAAAAGATAAGTGGGTCAGGTGTTGATATTAAAAATAAAGAAGGCATTTCCTGACCACGAGCACATGTGCTTTTTAGATGGCAGAGTGCCATCTAGTGGATCAAAAATAAACTAAACGTTTATTTAACTTGCTCCGTGATATTTGGCCAACCCAATTTCTTGATAAGCTTTTCTTGATTTATCATATATATATACAAGTGTATATGAGATATGAGAATTGTATATAGAGAGAGGCATTCCCACGTATTCCTGTAGCGCCCAACTACCCGGTATAGATATCGTTTTATCGCCCCATGTATGGCTATAATCTTAAAATAGATGTTTATACATCCGCGACAATGCAGGGATAAGTTTGGTTATACAGTGGTATACAGTGTCGGATATATAAGCAGAATTGCACAATCCAATACTAGAACTCTAAAAACGGCATGGTTGATTAAACTGGCGAGAATGCTAGAAAGGTTCACCACTGAACAAAGCTCTCCTAATATTCTTTAATCGCAGTATAAGGACTGAGAATAAAGTTAGTTTTATTTTAAAAAGAAAAATGCGTTCATAATAGTTTCATTCCGTATATATAGATGGCGTGTTATTGCCTTGAATTTACACTATATAATATCGCTTACTTATATATAATATCATATTGAACAATATAGTAGACGATAATATTATAAATAATAAAACAATACCGTCTATATATGTGACTTACT